TTCTGTCCACATAGCCACCAGCCATTGCCCTTCGCTCATTGGATTAAAACATCTTCGGGTTATCACTCAACTCTGCAGCTGCATCATTTATTGGGGGGAGGGGGGGTCTAATAATTTGCAATCAAGAAATAACAATTTCATATGTGCAAATAAAAGAGGATGGTGAATGATTGTGCTTGCCATTTACATGTTGTCTGACATATTAACGATCTTATTCGTCTCATGATATAGGGTTCCGTTTCATAAATTTCTCCTTCAATGCATTATTTAAAAAAAGAAATAAAAAAATATGCCTCTTAAGAGCACATCAGCCAAAACAAACCATTTATCCGTCTCCAATATGGAATTGTCCCACTCCACGATGGCTGCAAATACCATGATTTAGAACTTGTGGTAATAGCAGAAGCAGTATTGTGAAGCAAGAATAACAACTTATTAAACAAATTATAGAAAAGCTTCCATTGACTTTTAAGTTGAACCAACACTAGTTATTTCATATGGAAAAATTATCACTACTTCTATAATCATTGCACCTAAAGGATCTTATTTTTGGTTTTCTTCAATTTGTCTATCAAATTAACTATTGAAATTATATCACAGGTGACATTTCTTGGAATCTTTCTCTCTGTATCACATCAATTAACTTCATCTAAGATCCAAAAACTATGATACAGTGGTTGCGACATGGACTTTGTTAAATGTGGGAACTAGAGAACAAAATTTAAGACTAATCAAGTCTAGGCAACATCATATAATACAAAAGCAGATCCTGATGTTTTAAAATAGCAGAGATATGAAATAAGTAACAAAACGAGAAAAAAGCTCCAAGGCAAGAATCAGAAAGACCCAAAGGCATACCATACTAAGAACCACATACAGAATACCAGACATTGATGTTAAGCTGAGAAAGAAACTCCACACAATGACAAGCAGAGATGCCGAACCCAGCCTAATAAACGACTGGAAGCCTATAACAAAACAATTCTTCCAATAAACCAACAAAAACAGCAGACCTCTCCTAAATCTTGCATAGCCACAGCAAACCATAGGCCAATGTCGCTCCATAAATATCCCCATCTTGTCCCTCGAACAGCTTGCAGCTGTACTTGCTACGCAATAACAATCCTTTGATTGCAACCATTTCCATCCTTGATTGAACAACCCAATATCCTCCATCACTTAAATAAGCCTTCAAAATCCTGATCACCAATTAGCTACAACAAAAATTCATATAAGCCAAATCCCGCAATAACAAAAATCAATATTTCATCAAAATTCCCTAAATTATACTATTGATAACCTTTAACCAGAGATGGGATAAGTCCATATCTCCAAAAGAATAATGCTAAGTCACTAAGTTCCATACTTATAAAGCAAGATTTTGATCTAACTTCATTTCCACCATCTAGAGCCACGAGTAACAGTCCCAGTTAATGAATTCACAACAACACTTGCCTGATATAATTGGTTTTCTGACTGAACAAATGATTTCACAAATCTCACGGACTGCTACAACAAGCTCAGCCAATTCCGGACCAAGGCCCTATTGATGAATAAAAGAAAGGGTTTATGAGCCCAAGCCCTATAAGCCCACACTACGAAATTAAGGCTGACCCATGATAGAACTAGATGCCCCTGGTTGAGAGAAATGTTGTGGTGGTGCTCCACGATCGAGAGGGTGGCTGGATGAGGAAGTAACTGGGGAAAAATCGTGACTGTACTCGCAATTTTAGATGGGAATTGGAGCTGTTTCCGGCAGTCTGGTGGACAGGCGATGGTCGGAGGTTGTAGAGGGATGTGAGGGGGTGCCGGTAGTCTAGGGGTCCGGTGGCGGGTGGTGGAAGTTATTGATGGAAGGAGGAGGCGACGGATCAGTAGCTCAAGAAAGAGGAAGAATTTTGAGGGAAATGGAAAAAAGTGGTCGTTTTCTGGGTTTTCATTCTGTAGCGTGTTTTGGGAAGAAAATGCTCAAACGTCTTTTTAGACGTTTTGAGTTTTCAATAGAATTTTTTTTTTTTTTTCCAAAAATCATTTTCTAAAACGGGAAAGAGAATGCATTTTTACTGTTTTGAAAAATCGAAAATAGAAAACGGTTCGAAAACAGTAAAGAGAACAACTCCTTAGTGTTTTTAAAGAAACTACTAGAACATTAGCACCATAGATCATGATTTGAACAAATCGATGAGGCCATTGCTCGATTTAAATGCTCCACCAGCAATTGAAAGTTAAATAAAATACAAAATATAGGAAAATCTTAATGCATGTCAATTTCAAATTTTTTGTTTTTGATAAAAAAAAAAAAAAATTGATTTTTATGTAGTCTCAGGTTTGGCAATTTCGTTACTGTATTTGATAAAAAATTAAAAAATTGAATTTCTTATTGTTGGCAGATTCAAACTTTGTTGCTTTCATGTTATATGACTTTGCAGCTTTAATTACCTTGGTTATTACATTAAAAATGATTAGTACTAAGAATAGTTTAATAACCTTTAACATTGTATTGCATAATTTAATTGTCTTAAACATTGATTGTATTAATGTAGGGGATATTACTAAAAATGGTAGTAAATTCTCTCTTTTCACTATACTAACTAAATTTTCTTAATCTATGTGAAAAGATAAATAAGCACATCTTTTTAAGGAGGAGAGAGTATATGGTAGCTCAAAACCATTAAATCTAAAAATGAAATTTCATATGTACGAAAAAAAAAAAACCTCGACAACATCAAATTCATAATTTGTTTAAAAAAATATCATGTTTTCGACAGTTAAAAAAAGTTCATTATTCAGTAGTTATCATAAGAAATTAGCTAACAATTGCTTCTTTTTTTTTTTAATCAAATAAACTGTGAACTGTTTTGAATCAAAATTCAGAAATTACCAATCTGTAGATTTTTGTAAATTACTAGTCAAAATTCTGCTTATTTAGAAATTCAGAAAGGCGAGCTGAAGGAGCCATTAATTCGTAGTATTTGAGTTAGTAACATATTATGCCCATGGTAGAGATCAGATTTTTTAACAGATTTTGATAAAAATTGATAGAATATGTGGTGAAAAGCTATATGACCTATGAAATATGTGACTAAAATTAATTGTTGACTTTGACTTAAATTTAGATTTAGATTTTAATGAGATTTTTTAATGGTACCAAACAAGGGCTAAATACTGTTATTGTTGAAGTAATTGTATTTATATTTTAGCCCCATGTTTCCCATGTTTATACTGATTTTTTTCACAATGACCCTACAGTCAGGGGCTATATATTGTTATTTGTGTAATTTTTCCTTTAAAAAAAAAAAATAATGTCATTCAT